GCTTTACGAGCAAACAATTTTCCGACTTCCAGGCCGAGATCCTTGGCAATATTTCCAACAATGGAGCCTGGTCTCATCTCCTCCGGAACAGAATAGCTCAGGTCTGCTCTGGTAATGTGAACAAAAAGGACAACGCCACAGACAAAACTCAGCAACCAGTGTTCTCTGAGCGCCATTATTCCTTCCGACAAAAAAGAAACAGACACAAATATTATTCCAGTTAAAAAAAATGTATAGCGTAAGAGTGATATGAAAGCACACCGCTCCTACAACAATGGCAGCTCAAGGTTTGATGCAGCTACTGCTTTTGCAGTGGGTGGAGAGATTCACCTCTCCATATCTGTGAGCGAGCAGCGACGCCGTGAGCTTATTTGGAATATTACAAATAATCAAACAAACCAAAAAAATAAGCTCAGTTTAAGATGCCACTGTTTCTGCTATGACCGGCAATGAGATGTTATTTCAGTCTTCATTCGAAAGCGAAATTATTTCCATTTGATGTCTTGGGTTTTCGTGAATGGCGCAAATAAGGAAGGCACCATTCAGCACCACGGAGAGCGTTTGAAAGGCGAGGAGACGAGCCACAGAGTTCCCTCATTTAAGATTTTCTTTTCTAAAGTCACAATAGGCTGGACTGCTTTCCAAATACTAAAAAAAGTATTCTAGTCTGACATAGCAATTAATAAAACATACATTACAGCATTTACAAACTCATGATGGCAAAAACACATTTTTTTAAAAATCACCAAGATGCATATAAAATGCTCTAACTTATTCTCACAGTGATTCATTTGAGAACAGGAAGGTATTTTATTTCCTCCCTCTATCATGACCAATATCATCTTGACAAAAAGCTCCTTGACTGTGTTACAATGACCCAATGAACAGGTCGTGGCTTAAGCACTCGGTCAGTCAACGTGTAGTTGGAAAAAATACTACTTAGTAAAATGCAAGCTTTCACTACGTTCACTTCAATCTCTGATGCAATGAGAAGAACAAATAGATGCCAGGTCTAACAGCAAAAAATCACCACAATGCATAGACTGCAGTTAGAGATGTTTAGTTGAAAGGCATGTCTTAATATGCAAGGGAAGTGACATCTGATGCCAAGGTTTAAAAAAAAAAGAGAGAGATCCATTTGATAGAACAGTCAATGTTTACGTTCTATCGATTGCATGTAACCGTATTTTCATCTCCATTTAAAGACACTATTCAGTAAGTCATACACGGTAAAATGTAGTCAGTGCTTTTCAAGAAAACGTTTCATCTCAGACAGACAATTTTCTACCTGTTGATTCCACGTTCATGTCTA